TGAAGAATGGTAAAAGTAGGGTTGGCAGTAGAAAGTGCACTGGGGATGGCTACGTAACAGGCCATTCTGTGGAAGGCCATTCGGATAAGGTGACAGCTGAGCAGAAAGCTGAATGAAGGAGGGAGTGGAATATGGATGTTGGAAGAAGAGAATTTTGAACATGAGCAGGTTTGGAGACCCTGAGGTGACAGCCTGCCTGGCAGGTGTGGACACTGGCAGGACAGCTGGGGTGCCTGGAGGAAAGCAGGCTGTGGCAGCAGTGGGAGGAGTTGAGGGCTGGCGGGCTGTAGTTCTCAGCCAGCACAGTACTGTCCCCTAGGGGACATTCTGGAAATACATGTGGCAAGTGTGGTTACTGAGCTGCCATTTAGTGGGAGGGCCTGAAGGTAGGCATCCTGTGGTGTGCAAGACTGACTGTTCGCCAGTTCTCTGGGACAGCAGAGAACTGACCCATCTCCCACCTGATTTTCAAACATTCTACTGGATATGTGTGCAGATGAAAACATCTTTTTCTAAATTTTAGTGTGGATGGCTCAGTGCCTGTAGTTCAAGCGGCTAAGGCAGCAGCCACATACACCAGAGCTGGCGGGTTCGAATCCAGCCCAGGCCTGCCAAACAATGACAACTACAACCAAAAAATAAGCTGGGCATTGCAGCGGGCGCCTGTAGTCCCAGCTACTTGGGTGGCTGAGGCAAGAGAATTGTTTAAGCCCAGGAGTTGGAGGAGGTTGCTGTGAGCTGTGACACCATAGTGTGGAACTAACCCTGTTACAGAGTATTTGACAGCTGGTTTAATATACAGAGGGTGTCAAAAAATGTATACACATTTTAAGAAGGGAAAAAACTATTAAAATTGTAATACTCATCACATTTGACTTCTGCAATTACAAAAGATACAATATATAAGACAGAAAACATTATCAGTATATATTATCACAATTTTAATATTTTCTTTTCTTAAAATGTGTTTTGTTTTATTTTTGCATCCTCTGTAGTTTTGCAGAAATGCAACTACTGTGTAAATCAAGGGAAGACTAAATTTTGTTTTCCTAAAAACTTTACCATGAGCTGGAAATTCTGGAACATTGTGTCACCAACCACCATGTCATTCTTGGCATCTGAGTTGCCAACCTCACACACCTGTGTGGGTCACGTATGACAGACATACACCCTGCGGCCCTGCTTTACTAGCTGTGTAGCATGCCTGGCAATTAATTCCCTTCCACCATAGGTCCTCAACACAAGAAAGAGACCAGATAATCCCGATGACTACATGAAGAGTGCTGGACAGAGTCAGGGCTTGCTCTGCTGCCAGAGCCCATTTGCATACCCTATAGGCCTTTCTTCCTCATTTAATCCCTCTCCCTTGAGAGCTCAGTTTCTGAGTTTGCATTATTTTCATGTGTGTGGACTCATCTTAACTTTTTGCTCTGTATCTTCTGCCTTGTACTGGAGGTTCATGTGGGTATGGGAGTGACATGTCTCTGGCAGAACAGCTTCCCAAGACATTCTTCAACCAGGCCTTCCTAGGCCTGCAGCCAGGTAAGGCAGGGCCATGTGGTCCCTCCTCCATTCATAGGTGTGCCAGGCTTACTGGCAAGTCACTGTCCAGTTGAGGAACTGCTCCTGAAGCCCTGCAAAACCTGTCCTCTTAGCCTTCTAGAAATTTCACCAGCTAATGTCCACACTTCCTGCAAAATGAGCTGGTTCTGTGAGCTCAGCCTGACACACCTGGTGGGCAGTAAGTGGTTTCCATGTCAACCTTGCACGTAGACATGGGGCTCTGTTCCAGGATGAGCATTCATGAGCCATGACATTTCCTCCAACAAATCCAGATGCTTCCAGCACCTGCCTTTTTCTATCATACCCAGCCACTGGCCAGGTGGTGGCTTAATGCTGCAACAGGTAAGAGAGACCTAGGTATGTGACTGCAGTCTTCCAGAGCCTGTGCATGGAGTGACAAATCCCTGACAGGACACGAACCACTCTTGGTTGTGGGGTCCACAGCTGGACTCAGCCTTGAGGCATTTGACCAGACTTCATGCCATGTATAAACCAAAACCTTTTTAGGTAGAAGTAACTGAAACCAAACTCTTAACAATCTGAGACAACTCTACAAGTTGCCTGGGGCTGCCACAGCAAATCAACACAACTCCATTGGCTTAAAACAATAGCAATTTATTCTGATGGTCCTGGAGACCAGAAGTCTGAAATAGAGGTGTTAGCAGCTCCAGGAAAGAATCTATGCTTCGCTTCTCCTACCTTTGGGTGGCTTCTGACATCCCTTGGCTTGTGGCTGCACCACAGCAGTCTCTGCATCTGTCTTATCTATCACCTTTTTTTGTGTGTGTCTGTGTTAGTCTCTCTTTAGACATCTCTGCATCCCTCTTAGGAGGATACATCCAGGATAATCCAGGATAAGTGTCTCCTCCCATGATCCATTACTTAATCACATCTTTTGCCATATAAGATAATACTCTTTTGCCTCTATATAAGGTAACATTTATAGGTTCCATGAATTAGGAGGGGAGCCTATCTTTGGGACCACCAGCACCACTAAACAATTTCATAATTTTTGAATAGATTTTGTTCTCTTTATCTTCCCAATCTTTTGTAAGATAATGCCTATATTTTTTATCCACAATTCTATTTTTATTTGACATCCTTTCTACTTTTTTATGCCTATATTTTACTCTTGAGACAAAAATGGCAAATAGTTGTGGAATAATTAGTTAAAAATGGCAAATAGTTTAACACGCTTCCATATAAGGCAAATCATTTGGCAGACACTTAATTCTGGGTTGGGCTACCATGTGGTCATGATGAACAGGGCACATACCACATAGCCCATCTTGCCTAAACCCATTTACAGGTGTCTATTCCCACACCCGTGGGGGGGGCGGGTTGAGAGTATTACCCCTCTTCTTCACAAAGTGAGAATGGGTTTGACTCAGCTTCACTCTGCCCAATACCTTTTTTCCTTTGGAAAACTGATCTTCTTATAGCATGTGACCCTGGTGGGCTGATATCACTTCCAAGGCCACAGGAAGAGGATAATCTATGCTAGGCCCTACCCAGGACAGTCCCTATGCTGGAAGAGAGATGCCTTCCCTACTGAGACTGCTGGAGGGGGAGACTGTCATAAACTAGAGATTGCTGGTGGCAGTCTTTCCCTCTTGCAACAGAGGGGAGCCATGAACAGACCAGCAGGGCCAATATCATGTGGACCCCTGGAGACAGCTGTACCTGAAGTCCAAGTTGCTCAGGCACATGCTCAAGCCAGTTTGATCTGTTTTGTTACAAGCTGGAAAAAGGCTGGGAGGTTGTTTGACAATGCCAGCAACGTCTGTTGGTTTGATATGAGTTGCTAAGTACGCACCCCATCTGGACTGGTGGCTCTCTTTCTGGTCAGGACAGCCCCAGACCTGAGTTTTGGTATAATCTGTACCTAACCCCTGTGTCTCAGGTCAGGATCTCCACAAGCTAAGTCCGAGGTGGGAATTCTCCTGCCATGATTGAACCTGTGAGCAAGGGAAGGAGGATAAGGCAGGGGGAAGGGCTGAGCCCGGATGTGGTCCCAGCTGGTGTCACCTCCACCTGATCCCATAGGAGTTCTAGAGCATGAATCATCCTGTTTCAAGGCAGGCAGGCAGGCAGGCCAGCCCTTTGTGCCCTGTGTCAGTCATTGGCTACAGTCACCTCTAGGAGCAGAGTGTAAGTTGGCATTTCTGGAAGGGCTATCCTCCCTTCGAGGCAGCTCTGAGGTGGGTTCCCAGTGGCTGGGGGATGGGCTGCACTGGCCCAGAAAGGTCTCTGAGCAAGTTTCCAAATGCCTCTACATCAATCTTTTTTTGTGGTTCCTGCCAAACCTCAGTAGGTTGAGATGCAGCAGCCTAGAAACATCATAACTCTCATAACCTTTACTTGTCAAGAATTTCCAAGCTTTAGATGAACAGAAGGCTTAGTACCTGGACCCCATTGTTCTGCCCTCTCCTCCCCACATTGCTTTGCAGAATTGCAACTGCCCTTGGCATTTGCTGAGTCCACACTGACCTGTGGGTGTCACATGGCCACCTAGCTGCAAGAGAGGCTGGCAACTATAGTTTCATTATCTGAGGAATAGCAGAAAAGGAAAAAATAGATGAGAGTAGTGAAAATCTCTGTCACTAGGACTGGAGCATTGATTCATATCAACATCTGTAGGTGAGAAGGTAGGAGAAAGAGCCCAGAGAGGTTCTGAGACCATCCAAGGTCACACAGGTCCACAGGATCACTGCAGCAGGCCCCAGTCTCTAGGCTCCCAAGACAAAGAATACATGAAAATGCAAGGTCAGAGGACATGAGTTTATTGTGTATGCCACTCCGAGTGCTACAGCAAACCAGGGTGAACATGTCCACAGGACCAGTGCCATGCAAGCATGGCTGGGGGGGAGGGGCACCAAGCAGCATATCGTGGAGGGGGAAGAACTCTGCCAACATGGGACACAGAGCCACTGTGATGGTAATGGCCAGCTGAGAGGGTGCCCTAGGTGGCTGCAGTGTTGCAGGGAGCCTTGCCTTCAAGTCTGTCAAATGATTCCTCAGGGTGTTATCTGTTTGGGAGACTGACCCAATTTCCTAGACTTCTTTTGGGAGTCTAGATGATCTTTGACCTTCTCTAAGAGATGTGGGGCTCTGGGGAAGCCTCAGCTCAGGACAGGACAAGCTTTTTGTCTCTGCCCTGTGAAAGACCCCAATTGTTTCCAGGTCTGTGGAGAAAGGGACCTACACCCAAGACACCTACTGACAGGGAGACTAGAGGCTTTGCAGCCTGCCCCAGCCTACATCTAGGGGATAGGCACAGGGTGTCCAGGTCTACAAAAGGCATCAGTGCAAGAGTACAGAAGCCAAACCAAGAGGTAAGCAAGTCCCTTTTCAGTGGGGTGGCAGGCCACAGATGTGACCCATACCCTAGGCAAAATGGAGCAGTTGGCAGTGTTGTCCCAAGTCTGCTGTTGTGATCAGAGCAGGGTCTGGAGAGCCAGGACAGGGAGCACAGAGAGCAGGGAACTTCCCTCTGGAGACCCATCTGTGGAAGACACCTTGGGGTGGGGCAAAATGTGGACTTGTGGCACAAGACCAGCTCTGCACTCAGCCTGCACCCCATCCTGGGTCACCCAGGCCCACCCAGCATGGCAGGGTGTGAAGGAGACAGTGGGGGAACTGCCAGCTCCATCCCTTTCCTCACCTACCTGCATAAGGCTGTGCTTAGGACCCTGCTGGGGCTCCAGATGCTCCTGAAGGATTGGAGGCCACCGGCTGTCAAAGGCCCGTATGGCACCATCTGTGGAGGGAGGGGTCCAGGATGGGCTTGGCTGGAAAATCCTAGCACAGGGCCTAGATCTCTGGGGACAAACTGAGAGACCTGGTGGCTGCAAGGATTGGCTCCTTGGGATGGCAAAGGTGCATAGGAGGAATAACAAAATAAGGACAACTGAGCTAAGAGGGACTCACAAACTGTACAGTCTTCCACCCTCACAGCAGAGGGGGACAATTACCACCCCCATTTCACAGATAAACACAAAAGGGCTCAAAGGTAGTAAGTAGCAGAGTCTGGCTTCAAACTCAGGCCCTCACTGGAAGATCACTGAACTCTTCTGACCCCGAAAGCCAAGATCATCAGCGGGGTGCGTCCCTCCGAGATAAAACCTCAAAAGTGTAAGAAGTAGGAGTCTCAGGCTGGGCGCGGTGGCTCACGCCTGTAATCCCAGCACTCTGGGAGGCCTAGGTGGGTGGATTGCCTGAGCTCACAGGTTTGAGACAGCCTGAGCAAGAGCAAGACCTCGTCTCTAAAAATGGTCAAGCGTTTTGGCGGGTGCCTGTAGTCCCAGCTACTTGGGAGGCTGAGGCAAGAGAATTGCTTGAGCCCAAGAGTTTGAGGTAGCTGTGAGCTATGATACCATGGCACTCTACCGAGGACGACAAAGTGAGACTCTTTCAAAAAAAAAAAAAAGTAGGAGTCTAGCCTTATTCAACTCCACGTCCTTGTTCTAACACCTGCCTCCTCCCTCTCTCAGGGGCATCAGCCTTGACACCCCTAGGATTCTACTTTGGGTCTGTGATCTGGTCTCCGGAGACAGATGCACGTGGACTCCCCCAGGGGTAGGGCGTCAGCAGACTGGGGTGAGGATGTGCGCCTGCGTGAGCCTCAGTTTCCTCACCTCCAAAGAAGGCTACCGCGGGCCAGGCGGCTGGGGGGAGGTGCGGTAAGTGCCATACCCGGGTCCCTCACCCAAGCAGCGGTTCCTCGTAAAGAGCCCTCGGAAGGCTTCGCATTCCTCATGTCGGTTTCCGCTAGCTCCGCAGTCGCACCAGGGCGCCACACGCGCGCTAGTGTTGTCCACGTAGTTCGGGGTGACCACGGTGCCTGTAGGGGCCCCGAGGGTGGGGTCATTTGTCCACCCAGGCGGAAGAATCCCTTGAAGAGCCCCGCCCAAGCCCTGTTCCCTTCGGCACGTACCCACAAGGCCCGCGTAAGCGCTCAGGCAGCGGGGGCCCTGGTCCCGCGGGCAGCCGTCGGGGGCGCGGGGAACTGGCGCGCAGGACGCCTGGAAGGCCAGGAGGCGGGGCCTGCGCGGCGGGGAGGGGGAGCGGTGAGTAGGTAGCGGCCCCTCCCAGCTGCGCGCCCCGCCCCGTCCTGCGCGCCAGAGCACCTGCGCCGCCTGCCCCTCGCACCTGCAGATCCGGCTACGCTCGCAGGTATCTAAGGGCTCGAGGCAGGAGGGCGGCGCTAGGCCGGGTCCCCTGTAGGCGCAGGCCGGCACGAAGGTCTGGCGCCGGCGCTCGGCGCACGCGGGGCTAGCACACGGGCAGAAGAGCAGCGCTTGGGTGAGCGCTGGCGGCGCGCGGGCGAAGAAGCGGCGCAGGGCACGCCGGCAGCGGGCGCGAGGGCAGTCCCCCAGCGCGGCCCAACTCAGGCACTGCGCCACGTATTCAGCGCGCAGTCCCTGGCACCGCGAGTCCGCCGTGCACGCCTCGGCCGCCTCCACACATCGGTTCTCTCCCGCCCGGCTCCCGGACCCTGGTGGAGGAGTAGGCAGGCTTGCTCGGTGCGCCTCGCGTGCACCCTTCACCCTGCCCCTGGCCGCGCTCTAGGAAGGTGGAGGAAGCTCGAAACCAGAAGGACCAGAGAGCATGGCCCAAAGGCATGGCTGGCTGGCGCTGACCCGCTCTCTGTAGTGAGGATGGGCAGCCGCGGGCCCTTGGGACATCTCTGCAACACGTCAGAAATGGAGGGGCATTCATTGATTCAATTGATGCGGGCCCCACCTTCTCCAGAAGCTGAGGCCCATTCTCCCCGAACCACCTCTATCCCCAGAATGACCACACACACTCAGAGGGGTCCATGGGGCTCCTTCCACGCTCATGGTCCCTACCTGATGGAGAAACAGTGAGGCTTTCTGGGGAGGCCTGTTTAATGGAGATTTCTTAGACTTGGCACTGAGGACAGCAGCCACTCCTTGTCCTCTCCTCTTAACGCTGGGACGGACACCTGGCCTTTCCTTTAGTCCTCTCTTACACACACACACACACACACACACACACACCGCTCTGCCTTTGGGTAAGTCTACAGGTTTGTGCCTCTCCCTCCTCCTTGACCTTGTGCACTGCCTACTACCCCCTGCATCCAGTGTCTTCTTGCCTCCATGCTCCCTTGAGTCTAACTCATTCTGCCCCATCTGGACTCTGGCTTTCTCTGGTCCCTCCACCCTCCACCAGCAGAAGGAAAGAGGGATTCTGAGCAAAAGCTCTGGCCATTGGAGAGCCTGTTTAGACCTGGCTGCCAGAGTGTGGATTCAGAGTGAGGTCCCTAATGACAGGCCACAGGGCTTTATCCTGAGCCACAAGATCCCAGGGTTCATCAGTGGCTTTAGTGAAGGTGGGGTGCCCATGATAGGTAGCATTCTGCTGGGGGGTTAGATGTTCAGAGGGTGAGTTCAGTCCAGATGTCCCATGAGCTCTCTAAATCTAGCCACGCCAGGCACCTCGCTCAGATTGGAAGCCTTTCTGGCACTCAAGTCTGAGTGAAGATGTCCAGCATGGCCTCTCATCAATCTCGCTGTGTGTGAGAGAGGGCTCTCCCACTTCAAGGGTAGGAGTAAGGCACCTCTCCAGCACGGGCCTCCACTTTGGGAATGGCAGATTTGATGGCTGGGTCATAATGATTCTTGCTGTGACTTCAGCACTGACTTCTCTGTAAGAAGGATGAACACAGGCTGAAGGAAATGGGTATATGAGTGGAGGGGCACAGAGGAGAGGAGTAGTCCCATCTTTTCCCCTTTTCTTCCCTCCCCTCCCCTACAAGATGCAGAGAGCAGCAGGAATACTTTGCTCTTCTCTCTCAGCCTTGCTAGGCACATCCCCAAGCAGGCTCAGACAACAGCACCTAGTGTCACCCAAGGTCTACTCTTTTGCTTACCTGTCTCCACCCTCAAATCAGCACATCTCACCTCCAAGATCTCCCCAGTTTTAAACCTTTAGCGGATTCCATACTCCACACCTTAAAGTGACCCTTCCCTCCCCCTGCTCCAGGTGGGGAAGGGACAGTGGTAGGTGGAACAGCAGATACAAGACACTGAAAATTAGAACAAGGAGTGGGGAAGCCGCAAGACTGGGTGTGGAGAGCTAGGAGTGGCAAAACAGTATGGAAAAAAGTTCATGGGGCAAGGGTACCAAGGCCAGTCTGGGATGGGGGTGGCTCTGCTAGGCCCGAAGTGGGATGCTTGGCACATAGTGAGCCAGTTGTCAGGTGTCCCCATACCCTGAGCACAAGCTCTCCCTAGCACCCCTGGGCTTTTCCCAGAATCATTGTCTTGTCCTCTCACCCTGTTCCAGAGGAGCTGGGACAAAGAGTGGGGGTGGGGAGAGGAGGAGGAAATGGGCACTCACCCAGTAGCAGTAGCAGCAGCAGCACGGACCCCAAGCAGTGCATTATGCTGGTCGGTGGATGAACAGAACAGGACAGGAGGAAAGCCTTAGACAGGTGCCCACTTCCTAGCACCTCCCCAGCAGGAGCGATTGAAACCCAGGTGTTTGCGCAGACACACGGGGCGGAGCCTTTGCAATGGCAGTGATTCCCCTCCTCCACTGAGGATCCAGCACCTGAATGTGCTCAGAGGACCCTCATACACAACCAGCACCACCCACACGACAGCCCAAGGAGACCTTGTCTTGCCCATGCTAATCCAGGAACTTTATGAAACAACTTTGTTCTTTTCCTTTTTTTGTATAATTTTATTTTTAACTTTTTTTTTTTTTTTTTTTTTAGAGACAGTCTTGCTTTATCACCCTGGGTAGAGTGCTGTGACGTCACAGCTCACAGCAACCTCCAGCTCTTGGGCGTAGGTGATTCTCTTGCCTCAGCCTCCAGAGTAGCTGGGACCACAGGAGCCTGCCAAAACGCCCAGCTATTTTTTTGTTGCAGTTTGGCCAGGGTGGCGTTCGAACCCACCACCCTCAGTGTATGGGGCCAGCGTCCTACTCACTGAGCCCCAGGTGCCGCCCCATTTTTAACTTTTTTTTTTTTTTTTTTTGGCCAGGGCAGTTTTTGGCCAGGGCTGGGTTTGAACCTGTCACCTCTGGCATATGGGGCCAGCGCCCTACTCCTTTGAGTCACAGGCGCTGCCCCCTATTTTTAACTTTTTATTAACTAGTTTGAGACTTGTGGAAAAGTTGGGAAATGTTAACATTCCCCTTATATCCTTCACCCAGCTCCCCCTAATGTTAACAACTTACATAATCACAGTACAATTAGTAAAAATAGCGAATTAACACTGGTATAATGCTGTTAGCTAAACTGTAGGTTATTTTGAATTTCCCCAGTTTTTCCACTAACACCCTTAGACTGTTCCAGGATCGCATTTATTTGCACATCTCCTTTGTCTCCTCCAGTCTATGGTCGTTCCTTCATCTTATCCTCATCCTGAATGCTGTTGGAGAATCCTGGTCAGTTATTTTGTAGACTGTTTCTATCATTATTATATTATTATTACTATACAGTCTCACTGTCGCCCTGAGTTGAGTCCCATGGCGTCATAACTCATAGCAACCTCAAACTCTTGGGCTCAAACGATCCTCTTATCTCAGCCTCCGGAGGAGCTGGGACTACATGCATGTGCCACAATGCTCAGCTAATTTTTTCTATTTTTATTAGAGACAGATCTTGCTTTTGCTTAGACTGGTCTCAATTCCTGAGCTCAAGCAAACCACCCCCTCAGCCTCCCAGAGTGCTAGGGTTATGGGCATGAGCAACCCCCTCCCCCACTAGAATGTTTCTTTTAAATCTATGTGATGTTGTCTTCTGATCAGAATGCAACTCAGCATTGTTTTGACTAACCAAAAAGTTGTTCTGTAAGTAAATGTTGAGGTTAAAAGTCTCAACATTGAGATTTTAATAGTGATGTCCCCCCCAAAAAAACACCATAATTTATCTTTAATTTTAATGCAAATATAATGGAATTTAATTTACAGAGTACGGGTCCAGATGACCTTTCTTATTAGAACCCATGAATGATTCTTCTTAGAACTGATTATCTGAGAGAGAGAGAAGAAAATGGTAATCTCACAGAGAGGGAACAACTACTACCTTGAATAAAATCTTGGTGAGTAGAAAAATTATGAAAGAGACAGAGTTTTTTAGGTTCTGTCTGAAATTCTCCCGTAACATTTTATTCTTTAAAGCCAAACTTTTGACCTAAGCTTATATAGATATGGTACTAATGCTGTCACTTTTACAGTATTAAATATTAATATTTAAAATATGCAAAAAGAAGTAAAGAATAGTGCTCTCAAGTACTATGCACTAAAGTATTAAATATGCAAAAAGTATACTTGTACTATGAGTATACTTGAGTAGTGCTCTCAAGGACTATGCACTCAAGTACTAAAATATGCAAAAAGAAGTAAAGAGTGAGCTCTCAAGTACCTATGAACCAGGGTGAGAAATTCACCATCATAGAGTCGAAGGCCCTGGTGTCCCCAGCCAGTTCCTGAGCTTCTTCCAGCCTCATTCCCTTAGTACTCCCTGGGCTGGGCATGGAAGCTCATGCCTGTAATCCTAGCATTCTGGGAGACGGAGGTGGGTGGACTGTTTGAGCTCAGGAGTCAGAGACTAACCTGAGTAAGAGCAAGACCCCATCTCTACTAAAAATAGAAAGAAAACCTAGCCGGCATAGGGGGATGAGGCAGGGGGATCTCCCTTAGTACTCCCTAGCTACTATTCTGTTCTCTTTCTCTAAATAAGGTATAGTGTTGTATTACACGTGTACAGACTCTGTAGAAATGTTTATTGTATGTATCACTCAGGGACTTGCTTTTTAGCTCAACCTTATTTAAAGATTTATTCATGTTGGTGTTCGTAGAAGAGTTCTTTCTCTGCTGTTTAGTATTCTACAATATGACTCTACCATATTTTATGTACATTGTCAGATACTGAAAATTTTTTCTTATTTTTAGCTATTAAAGACGATGCTATTATGACCATTTCTGTACATTATTTCTGGAGTACACAGAAATAATGTGTACTAACATTTTAAACTTATCTCTTTGTCATCTAAACCTCAAAGTACTCTTGGTTTTTTTTTTTTATTATTGAGACAGAGTCTCACTTTGCTGCCCTTTGGTAGAGTGCCTTGGTGTCACTGTTCACAGAACTTCAAACTGTTGGGCTTAAGTGATTCTCTTGCCTTAACCTCCCAAGTGGCTGGGAGTACAGGCACCCATCACAATGCCCAGTTAATTTTGGTTGTTGCTGTAATTGTTGTTTAGGGCGGCACCTGTGACTCAGTAAGTAAGGCACCGGTCCCATATACCAAGGGCGGTGGGTTCAAACCTGGCCCTGGCCAAACTACAACAAAAAAACAGCTGGGCACTGTGGCGGGCACCTGTGGTCTCAGCTACTTGGGAGGCTCTTGTGCCTAAGCCAAGAGCTGGAGGTTGCTATGAGCTGTGACGCCATAGCACTCTACCGAGGGTGACAAGTGAAACTTTGTCTTTAAAAAAAAAAAGTAATTGTTTAGCAAGCCTGGGCCGGGTTTGAACCCACTAGCCCCGGTGCATGTGACCAGCGCCCTAACCACTGAGCTACGGGTGCCGAACCAGTATTGTTGGTTCTTAACTCTGGCTATAAGTTAAAATCAAATGAGGAGCTTTTAAAAACTAACAGTGCTGGCTAGATGGAGTGGCTCATGCCTGTAATCCTAATGCTTTGGGAGACTGAGGCAGGAAGGTCACTGGAGCCCAGGCATTTGAGGTTCCAGTGAGCTATGATGACCCCACTGTGAGACACTGTCTCCAAAAATAATAATAATGAAAACAAAAAGTTACCAGTGTCCAAACCTATCTGGACAAACTAAAAATCCCTGAGAAGGGATCCAGGCAATATTTTTAAAAGACACCCCCAGGAGGCCAGGCATAGTGGCTCACGCCTGTGACGCTAGCACTCTGGGAGGCTGAGGCAGGAGGATCCCTTGAGCTCAGGAGTTGGAGACCAACTGAGCAAGAGCGAGACCCCATCTCTATGCCTGGCTATTTTTTTTTCTTTTTGGTTGTAGTTGTCATTGTTGTTTGGCAGGCCCAGGCCAGCTTCAAACCCGCCAGCTGCAGTGTATGTGTCTGGTGCCCTAGCTACTGAACTACAGGCACCAAGCAAGACTCCATCTCTACTAAAAATAGAAACACTAGGGCTGGGTGTGGTGGCTCATGCCTATAAAATCCTAGCACTCTGGGAGGCTGAGGTGGGTGGATTGCCTGAGCTCATAGGTTAGAGACCAGCCTGAGCAAGAGTGAGACCCCTGTCTCTAAAAATAGCCCAGCATCATGGCGGGTGTCTGTAGTCCCAGCTACTCAAGCGGCTGAGGCAAGAGAATTGGCTGAGCCCAAGAGTTTGAGGTTGCTTTGAGCTATGATACCAGGGGACTCTACTGAGGGCAACAAAGCGAGAGACTTTGTCTCAAAAATAAATAATAAATAAATAAAAATAGAAAAACTAGTCGGGCATTGTGATAGTCACCTGTAGTCCAAAGCTAGTTGGGGGGCTGAGGCAAGAAGATGGCTTGAGCCCAAGAGTTTGAAATTGCTGTGAGCTAAGATGATGCCACGACACTCTATCCAGGGTGAAAGAGTGAGATTCTGTCTCAAAAAAAAATTTTTTTAATACTTAAAAAGCTCATTTAAGTTGGATTTCTGTTACTTGATATCAAAAGACTCCCTCAAGACCTGGGGAGTTCTTTCTTTTTTTGGCCCTGGGTAGAGTGCTATGGCATCACAGCTCACAGCAACCTCCAACTCCTGGGCTCAAGCGATTCTCCTGCCTCCACCTCCCAAGTAGCTGGGATTACAGGCGCCCTTTGGCAGGCCCCCAGCTGGATTCGAACCCGCCAGCTCAGGTGTATGTGGCTGGCACCTCAGCCACTTGAGCCACAGGCACCGAGCCTAGGGGAGTTCTTTCTTTACATTGACTTTTGTTGTTCTCACTGGCCTTCAAAACCCTGGGTGCGCTTGGCCATGGTAATACAGCTATCTGTGGTTTGGTGGTTAATTTCATGATCAGGAGGCCACCATGGTTTTTCTGCTGCTGATGGCCATGACCACTATAGCAAAAGGCAAGCCATCATGCCACTGCAATGGGTTGTATTTCATTCTACAATGTCCACCTGAATCTTGGCTTGTGGGAGGAGAAAGGGATGAGGTAGGAAAACTCAAGATTGAGCTCTGACTATACAAGGCACACACACTCTCCCACCTGTCTTTGTGATGTCACAACCACTTGAAGGTGTGAGTGCCTCCCTTCTTTAAGGTGGGGGACCCCAAAATGGGGGGGGAAGAGGCATCAGAGGAGGGACAGTCCACTTCAGGGGCAGCATGGAGCACCTGGCAGTTGTGCGGCCAAAGGGAATCAGCCTACTTGGGCTCACTGTCTGCCCCCAGCTTGATGTCCACTCTAGCCCTCAGACCCCCTTGCTCAGCTTTAGGTCACTTGACTCCCCTCCTGCTTTCCAATCACTTTGCACCCCTCGTTCTTCTGCTACTGACCGGATGCCTGCTCTGTCTCCTAAATCTTTGTGTTTTCCACTGTGAACTAGGTGATCCCAGGCACCAGGGATGCCTCTCCCCTCAGACTAGCATTTCTCCTCCCACAGCCCTCTTTCCATCTCAGCTGGCTTTCCCAGGGTTCTCCACTGGGGGGATTGGGGGGGGTGTTTCCTGGTAATAGTCAAGAGGGCAAAATTTGGCCTCCCCTAGGGTCCTTTGCAGCTGGAGTCCCAGGATTCAGACACCCCTTCCTGAAGAGGGAGAATGTGGGAGGCATATTAATCTTTTTTTTCTTTTTTTTGGAAACATAGTCTCACTTTGTTGCCCTTGGTAGAGTGCCATGGCATCATAGCTCACAGCACCCTCAAACTCTTGGGGGTCAAGTGATCCTCTTGCCTTAGCCTCCAAAGTAGCTGGGACTACAGGTGCCCTCTACAACACTTAGCTATTTTTAGAGATGGGGTCTCACTCTTGCTCAGGCTGGTCTTAAACTTGTGAGCTCAAACAATCTACCCGCCTCGGCCTCCCAGAGAGCTAGGATAACAGGCAAGAGCCACCGTGCCCTCCATTTTATGATGGTTTAATATCATTTAACAGCATTTCTGGGGAGAAACTTCTGATTCCTAGAGGTAATAACCACCTCATGCCTCTCACATGCAAACCAACCAATCTTGAGTCCATACCCCAACTTTCTCTCCTATGGAACTCTCACATGCCAAGCCAGTATTTCCCCTGCCTTAAATCAACCTGGGGCCAGGTACCAATGAAGACACCTGGAGACTATTCTTGTGCCCCAAAGCTGGCCAATGCCAAACTACTCACCTGCCCTGCCTTGCCCATGGAAACCCCACTAAGCGCTGTGACCTATGCCTTCTCCTGATTCTCTCTCCAGACCAAAGATGGCACTTCCCCATGTGGCCCTGCATGGCATGGGTGCCGCCTTATCCTGGGAGCTGTAATAACTTCATTCAGTGGCACTAACCTGTGTCATCACCCAGTCACCTCTATAAATTAAAATCCACTGCTACAACTGAGACAGGAGGGGGCTGTAGAAAGCAGTCTCACTCGGCTCCCTAGGCTTGAGGACTGACAGCAAGTCTGAACCAGGGCGGCCTTCTCTCCCACTAATTTATGGGTGCTTTTTCTACCCAGCAACAGCTATCTGATAATGATCACTCAGCAATTCTTGCATGAAATGAGGGGAGAAAGCCCAAGGGAGACAGGAGAGCCAAGGCAAATGGAGTTTTCAAAGCAGGCAACATTGTCCTCACTCAGACACATGCCTGGGGCCCTGGCTGCCATTCTGAGTCTACAGCCACCAGTCACTCTTGTGGCCCTCAGGGTGTCCATGGGGTTAGATTTACGGATAGAAAAGACAGAGGACCACGGCAACATGTTTTCTGACTTCTACTCTGGTGTCTTTTCTTAAATGGCTCCTTCTGTCCTTTCCCTTGGAATGGGGGAGAGGCTGAGTCACATTCACAGTGAGGGGCTGCTGTGGATCCCACAGTCTTCCAGAACCTCTAGCAGAGCACTGGGATGGGTGTGGGGGTTAAGGAAGCATCCAAGGGACAATGTAGGCCAGGAAAAGATAGGAAAGAAGGTCTTGAAGATTTTGTTTGCAGGGCCCAGGCTCCAGGGGGGTGTGGACTCAGCGTCTGAGCTTCTGGCCAGTGGTCACTGCCCTGCACAGAGCTGGGCCTGGGGAAAGTACATGATAGAAGACACAGCAGGTTCCTAGGGCAGAGGCATCTCTTGGGTGCCCGGCATAACCCAGGCATTATGTAGCCTTTGCTCTTGGATCTGGATTATTGAGCAGGATCCCATAGCCCTAAGGGGCAGGGACTCCATTGGGCAACTTCTGATGAGGCTGGGAGCCCAGTGGGTCAGGGGGAGAGAAACTCTCAAGCTTTCTAAAGGTACCAGAGGTCAGCTGACTTGCTGCCTGTGCCCTTGGGAGTCCAAGTTCCTAGAGTGGCCGTCAGTGGCCACCTGTCTTTAAGTCTTCTCATCTTAGGAACCACCTCTCAGAGGTAAGATCTTGGCTTCTGGACTGGACCTGCTGAGAAGGAGGAGGAGGAGGATGTATCATTACCTGAGGACTGGGGCTCCAGGTTGCAAGTCATATGGTAGGGAGCCTGTGCTCCCAGTGAGGACCAATGACCCAGGAAGACCCACAGCTTCTGCCATCTCCTCTGAGGGGTTTCCAACATTCTGGTCTCCATGAAAATGGTTTCTCCAAGAGGTGGTGGCTCATCTGCACAATAACCAAATCTAGAAACCTCAGAGTAGGGGGCAGTGAGCCGAGGGTGGGTGGACTGGCAGTAGGAGGGGAGGCCTCTGTGTCAGGTCTCTGCCTACCTTGGGGATCAGGCAGGGCTACAGGGTGCTGGCTTCTCAGGGAGGTTGTTGGGCTCTGGCAGGGTCTTCAGAGTCTGGGAGCAAAGGTGGAGGATAAATGCTGTGAACACAGCATGAGTCCCAGGGGACAGGGTGGGGCAAAGGGGACTCAAGGTGGCTAGGTACTAAGTAGAGAGGAGGGACCCATTTGGAAAGAGGCAGAAGGCAAGACCCTACCCTTTTTGCTTCCCTCCCCACCTCCCCCGGGGCCTCACTCACCCAGGGGCCAGGGCTCTCTGGTGGCTGTGGGGCCCAACCTTGTGGAGTGAACACTGCCCAGGGAGTGGTCCCTGCATCCAAGAGGTTGCAACAGTGACCTCAGGCAGGGTACCCTGAGACTGCTTCCCCACAGCATGGCACCCAGCCAAGGAGCTCTGTGTTGACTGAATTTCCACCCTTCTGCTCCAAGTCACCCCCCTGGCTCCCTTCCTGCTTCCACATTAAAGCAACCCTTGGGTCCAGGCTCCAGTTGTGACTCAGGCCCTCCGGAGGTTACTGGCACCTCATGGTGCCACCCCAGCTTCCTGGCAATCTCCAGATGTTGGCATCACTCAGGTCCCAAGAGAGATGAATGCTCCCCCTTCTATGAAAGCTGTGCCTGTGCTCCCAGCCGTCATGTATCCTGCCACCCTTGACAACTTCAAGTCATCTGCAGCCATCCCGCCCCATCTCCCAGGACATCAACATTTCCTTTGATGTCTGTTCAAAACAATCTTCACTACCCTCAAGAGCACACTCTGGGAAGTGAGATGCAGACCCCTGACCCAGACTGATGCACCAAGCTCCAACCACATTGCTCTTCTGCCCACAGACCTCATCACTACTCATGTGTCAAGGCCCTCTCAGTTGGCACTGGGGGCCTGGTTGGTGCCCTGCCCCTGTCTGGGATGCCCTCTGCCCCCAAGAGACCCTGTCCTCTCTTTCTGCTTGCCTAGAGCACCCCAAAGCTGGGCTGTGTCAGAAATGGCCCTGTAGGGTGGTGCCTGTGGCTCAAAGGGGTAGGGCACCAGCCCCATATACTGGAGGTGGTGGGTTCAAACCCAGCCCCAGCCAAAAACTGCAAAAAAAAAAAAGAAAGAAAAGAAAAGAAAAGAAATGGCCCTGTAGTGCCTGCCCTGAGTAGGGCCCCAGTGCAGGGTCAGTTCTATGACAACCATGCTCAGTATCATGTGACCCTCCTTCCAGGTCACAAAACTAGGTTAGGGGGAGGCCCCTGGCCCAAGGGCAGCTGGCACCACAGCTGACCAGAGGTATGGAGTGAAAAGATGTGCTGGCCTGGCATTTGGGAACTTGAAGGGAGTGACAAAGACTGACAAAGGTGATTTGGGCAGAGGCATGAAAACAGAAGCAGGAGAGGCCTCCAGGGCACAGGGGAACATGGACTGCATTCTAAACTGGTGCGAAAACAGCGCAAAGTCAAAATGATGCAGCCACTTGGTAAGAGAAGCAGATGAGGACAAGAGTGACTATACCGGGGAAAGGCAGAGGACTATACCCTGGGGTGCTGGTGGTGAGGAGGGATCCATACCCTCAGCCTCACTGGGAGGCCACTGAGCCCTCTCTCTCTATACCTGGGGGCAAGGCTGAGGACCCCTCCCTAGCTCCCTGAGGGCCTCTGAGGAGAGGAACCACAGGCATGGACTCAGAGCCTACCCAGTGCATGTGGGGTGCCTCCTCCAGCCCCAGGGGCATCGCCAGAGATGGACTCCTGGGAGCCGGTAGTAGCACCAGGCCAGGCCGACCCCAAGGAGCAGAGGCAGCAGGGAACTAAGGAGCATGGCCAGCAGAAAAGTGTCATGGCCTGCAGAGGATAGAGTGGTCTGAGTTCTGGGCAGGGGCACCCCTCTGGCCCCTGCCTGCCCAGCCTCCATTGGCGCACTTTCAGATTGCGTAGGGCTGCTGTCCACACTGCCACCAAAGCCTGGCTTGTCACAGAAGGGTGGAGCCCAACCTGGAGCACAGTGGCAGTTATGATTGCTATTACAAACCTATGGAGCAGAAGAGAAGGGAAGGAGGGTCATGTGGGATCAGGGACCCCAAGGTCACCCTGATCCCTTGGGCTACTCACCCCATGGTTGTGGCAGGCAGCCAGGCAGTGCTGCAGCTCCTGCGAGGTAGTGTTCTGGCACCGCCTGTCCTGGCACACCTGTGGACAGGGGCACACTGGGTAGTGAGAGGGCATTCTGGCCTATGAAACTCAAGTGGCAAGGAGGGCGTGGGTGGGCAGGGCTCACCATGCTAGGTCCACACTGGGTACCTGGCTCTACCAGGCCCAAGTTAAGCAGGTCCAGCTGGGCACCGGGAAGAGCAAAGACTCCCTGGCAGGTCACCTCACTGCCATCTAGGTGAATGGTGGAATCCACCGGCACCGTGTGCGGTGCAAGAGGGCTCAGCTCCCCACCCTGGCACTGCAGCTTCCCACACTGAGCATCCCTGGGGGGGGGAAGGGTGAGTCACAGCCTGCTGTGTCCCCTTGCCCCCACTCCCAGCCTCTGCTCCCTCCACTCCACTCCTCACCTCTGTGCACAAGGCAAGAAGTTGCCCTCGCTGTCCTGGCCACAGCTCCCATGAGCGTCTCCCACGGAGTTCACCATCTGGAAACAGGCCTCTGGGGCTGGACGGGAGCCTGAGAGCAGGGACCCAGCTAGGGGCAGCAGTCAGGGGCCACTCTCCTTGGGCCTCAGTTCTCCCTGCCCGTTTTCCCCATAGCAGAAAACTGGGCAGACCGGAGGATAAGGGCAAGGTTCAAGGGCTCTCCCAACGTCTCACCAGGCCCCCAGAGCTGCTGGCACTGCTGCTCAAGCGTGGGACACGCTCCATCCCAGCAGTAGCCGCGGCCCTTGGCACAGGGCGAGCCATCCAGTAGATAAAGGTCCGGGGGACAGGTGGGGGAGGAGCCCGTGCAGAACTCAGGAAGGTCACATTCGCCCGCAGCCTGGCGGCACAGCTCGCCCGCTGGCTTCAGCTAAATAGGTAACCCGGTGCGGGGCGGGGAGGACAAAGAGACCAAGGACAGTGAGAGATTCACGCCCAGAGCGCAGTTAACAAGTGAGGGGCCTGGGCTGGAGAACCAAGCGGACCCCAGCACAGAACAGAGCTAGCACCCAGCAGGGGGACCGGAGGTCTTCAATTAGCCCTGCAACCCTCGCCGGAAAGACTTCCTTGCCCTCACCAGGCAGTGCGCGCAGCAGTCTCCGTGGGCGCACTGGGCCCCCACGCGCAGGGAGCAATTGTGAGTGAAGCAGCAGAGGTCCTGGCAATCCTGTGGCCAGAAAGGTGGTGGGACACCAGGTGAGGGCGTGGCGCCCCAAACCTCTGGGAGGACGGGGAGCGGGAATCATCCTTGGGACCCTGGGGCCCAACAAGCGGACCTGACCTGGCCCGGGGCGCAGTCGCACTCCTCGCCCGCCTCCACGAAGCCGTTCCCGCAGCGCGCCGGCGGCGCCAGCACCCCGGGCTCCGGAGCGTCGGAGAGGCACGCGCCACCCCCCTTGCGGAAGAAGGCGCGCAGCTGGCGGCGGCTGCAGGCGCTGAACACGCGTGGGAACGGGTGCCTACGGGCGCGGGGAGGACGTCGGGGGTGTGGGAACCACCCCCGCCATGCCCACCCCTGGGCTTGGCCACACAACCGCCAGATGCGCTGACACTGCCTGAGCGATGCGAGGCTCGAATCCTCTAGAAACTGGAAGTGTCTGCGAAAAGCCACACAGCAAGCCCGAGGCGGGAGGGTGGGACGCCAAAGGTAGGCAAGTCAGGACCCAAAGCGGACCTGAGTTACTCCTCGGGGGTAGGAGTAACTTTGATCGGTTGTTCTGAAAGTAGTCTTCATATTCTTGAGAATCCACTCAACATGCGTTTTCTCTAAGCCTCACGAACAACCCTAAGAGCTGGTACTTTTACATTTTACAGAAAAGAAAACTTAAGGATAAGCAAAGAAACGCAGGCAAAGTGGCCCCCAGGTCCAGTGGCCGGTGCCCGTCACCCCCGAGCGTACCCAGTGGCCGCCGCCATCACGCAGCCGCCCTGCTCGGCCTTGGCCTCCACGCAGCAGCCGTCGGGGTCGTGGCTAAGGCCGAGGCTGTGGCCTATCTCGTGGGCCACGGTAGCTGCAGCGCCAATGGCGAGCTCCGAGTGGTCCTGGGTGGGCGTAGGGGGCGGTCACTGCGGGCGGCGAGCCCTCTCCCTCCCTCCCTCCCTCCCTCTACCTGGGCGGCGGGGCTCACCGTGCTCACACCTCCAGAGCTCTCCGCGCGGCACATACCCTCGACCGGCGCAAGGCCCACGGTGGCGCCCCCGAAGGCGCAGCCCCTGAGGACGGAGCACGGAGTGACTGGGCAGGGCCAGGAATTGAGGCCTCCCGGCCCAGGCCCGAGTGAGGGTCAGGGGCACCCACGTGAGCAGCTGCGCCGAGTCGTGTGGCCGCCGCGCCCACAACCCCCGGCGCCACTGTAGGAAGGCCCAGAGTGTGGCGTTCGCGTCAGGTGTGATGCTACAAAGATCCCGCTCGGTCCACACTTCCAGGCCACTCAGTACCACCTGAATGTCCAGAGTCCTGAGAATCTGAGGGCAGTAGGGGCTGACACCGGGGCCAGGCGCCCCACCGTGCGAGTTCTCCTCTGTGGGGTCTCCTCCTCTACCCTAGCCCTCTCCACACCCTCAGGAGCTGCCCACTGCTGCCAGGCCACCCCATTACTGCGCTATCCTCGCCACCCCAACCTGGTCGACATAGCTGGCGACCTCCAGGAGACGATGTTTGGTGCGGTTCAGGTCCTGGTGCTGGGTCAAGAACTGGGAGGACAGAAACACGGCGTGTGAGGGGCTGAGCTGGCCCATCCTGGACCTTCTACCCGCCTTGGGTCTCCCCTCACCAGGGTATGGTCAGCTACTAGGTACAGCTCCAGGTACCTCTGGCTCCTGCGGGGTTCTCGCCTGCCCTGTGGAGGGGCAAAGGGGACCCTGAGTGGCAGGCTGCTGGGCTGAGCCCTGACCACCAACCCCAATTCTCAGAAAGAACAGTTTTAAAATTTTGTTTCTTCAGCCTCAAATAAAATTACCAGGACAGGAGACCCTAGCTTGGGGCCTGGGAATTTGTCTCTTCTGATGTAGAGGGCTGTGGATACTGCCTTCCCAATCCCACCCCTTGCACACCCCTGACCCTGCTCTGCAGAGCACGAGGAAGGCTGGCCATGCCTCCTTTGTCCCCAGGGTCCCTATGGCCACAGCCCCCTTTCCAGGTGAGTAGCTGTTCCGTCAGGAATATCATGTGGGTTGAGAAGTCCTTGGAGTCCACAGGTACCCGGGGGTGCAGATAGTAGCTGGCATTGCTGCTGAGCACTATAAGGCCACTAGGATGGAGAGGGGTGCAGAGGCATGTGAAGGAACTCCTTCCCATCTCCAGATCAACCCCCTCCCCTAGAACTCCTCACCTCATCCCAGAGCAGGTACTGAGAACTACCCAGGAGCTAGGGAAGCCCCTCACATTCCCACAGTAGTGGCAGTGATCCTGGAGAGAAAGAGACCCAGCCCCAGGTCTTAGCCAGTGCTGAAGCAGAAGCAGCAGGAGCTGGCCCAACCTCTCCTTAGGGACAGAAGGGAGGGATGTGGTAGGTCTGGAGGGGGCACATCCCCCAGCACCCCTCACCCTGTCCTCAGAGCCCATGGAAGTTATCTCACCGTGTGGCTGGGGACCAACACCACTGGCTGCCCATCTGGGCCATAGTGGGTTTCTGTGTATCCTGGGGCCAGCAGCCTACTGGAAGGGAGTATTACAGGAATCACCTAAGCAGCCCTGCCTCCTCCAGGATGCCTTTCAGCCTCCCCGACACCCAGTGCTAATTGAGCAGCTCTCTGAGAGAGGCTCCCCAGGTGTGTCCTAGGGAAGGGACAGCAGTGGTTGCCTTGCTCAGTTCAGGAACACTTTGAGCTGAAGGCAGATAGGTGAAGGTCAGGAAGGAGCCGTGCGGATGTGTAGATGTGGATGGAGGGGGAAGTATGGAAGGCACCAGGAAGGAACAGGACCAAGGGAAGGGTTTGTGGTCCCTGTAGCAGGCAGTTGGATCTACAGATCAGGAGGGGGAATTCAGGGGGCAACGCTGATAGAGTGGGACTTGGAGCCAAGGAGGTATGGTAAGCCTGCAAAGTACCCCTGTCTATGACCTACTCTTTTTAGGCAGCTGGTCAACCCTCTGGCCTCTCCCACCTTAGATCCTTTAAATCTCCTTAGGCCTCTAGACCCCACATGCCTCCTACCTGTCCTTCAGTGATGTTCACCCACTGCTTTCAGAGAAAACAGAATCCCCACATGTGCACATCTGCTCCTGCCTTGCCCAGTTGAGCAGGGATCCCCATTCCCCACCTTCTCCAGACCCCATTTGAGTAATGATCCCATCTTCTGGCTCCATCTCACCAAGAATCTTCCCACCAGGATAGATCAACCATAAGTCAATCTCTCTTCTTTAAAGAAAATGATTGACCCCAGCCTCATCATGGCCTCTTTATCTCCAGACCACCCCACAGACCTGGGATGCCTGCTTCTCCACCTCTCTGTCATTTCCCACCTGCTCCAGCTGTGCACCCCCACTGCACACACATACCACCTTAGGAGGTAGGAGATGTAATCAACCCATTTAAAGGGTTGGTCAGGATGGAACTAGAGTTTGTTCCTGATCCATCTGACTCCATAGGGGAGAATAAAATACATATATACAGTGCTTAGAACAGTGCCTAAGATTAAACAAGCACTCAATAGGTGGCACTTATTGATAATATGGTCTGAATGGCTCCATCTTAGATACCCACCTGACCTGGCCTAGGGCTCTGCCTGCTCATTAACCAGCTCATAATCTTTGGCTCCCCACCAGTCAGGAACTCAGCACCAAAATGGCCTCCTGTGATCTGGCCCTACTGGGCCTCTCCCAGTTCATTTCCCCTTTCTTCCTTCCCTGGGGATGGAGACCTCCCAGGCAAGTTAGACAAGTTGTCACCCCCATTGTAGCCAGTGAACCTTTGTCCCTACCATTCCATCAGCCTGGAATGTTATCCCATCTTTGGAATCCCGTCTGGGATTCTTTTGACTCAGCATATGCTGCAAACGCCCACTAGGTGGTGTTCGCTCACCTCCAGCAGGGAGCTGACAGGCTGCGCCTGGGGCTGGGACTAGGGATGTGTCCTGCGCAGCAGGGCTGACTCAACCTCAACTGTCTACTTCAGCCTCCAGGGAGCCAGCGGCAACCCTGCGCAAGTCTCCCTGTCATCTGCACCCCTTCTGGGGCCCTCTCCCTCTCAGCTTCCTTCATGGGTCCACTTCAGTCCCTGTGCCCCAGCTCCAGGGAGGTCTGTTCTTGGCTCCCAAACTGGTACTCACTGGTTCTTCTCCAGCTCAAGTAGGAGCTCCTGGCCTTCAGCCTCCAAGGCCACCAGTCCTGAGTCTGGGTTTGAGACCTGTGCAGGAAGAAATGCAGGGCTGAGACGGTGGGCTTCCAGGCCTTCTCCCTGCCCGAGAGCTGGCAAGGAAGTTCATGGGGAGAATGTGGGCTGGAGTGAACAGCAACCCCTCCCCCGCTTCATGTGTCATGGAGGATATGGAGGAGTGTTGGGGGGCAAGCATGCAGACAAAGGCATTCCCAAATTTGGAATGTTTGCGTAGGCACTTGAAACTGCCTAAGCAGAGCCTGCCAGGTGCATGCGACATCCTCCCCAGAGACTGAGGCCCCAGAGAGGTGATCTGCTCTGTTCAGGATGAGTGGGCCCTACCCTGGCCTGCCCTCTTCTTTCAGGTCCAGAAGGAGCCTGCAAGGCAGGGAAGCAATGGCTTCCTGAGGACACTGTGAAGGCATTGGGTGGCCATGGCTTGGGCCTCCTCCTAGCCTCTGGCTTCTGTAGCTTGTTTCTGCCCCTTGTTCCTTAGAGCAACAGTTCTCAACCTGTGGGTCACGACCCCTTTGAGGATCAAATGACCCTTTCCCAGGGGTCACCTAAGACCATCCTGCATATCAGATATTTACATTACGATTCATAACAGTAGCACAATTACAGTTATGAAGTAGCAATGAAATAATTTTATGGTTGGGGGTCACCACAACATGAGGAACTGTATTAAGGCATTAGGAAGGTTGAGAAAACTACTGCCCTAGAGAATGCACACCTTATCCCTTCACCTCTGGTTTGGGCAAAGTGCCCCCTCCCAAAGTTTTCCTCAGCCTCCAGCAAGCCCCCCACCAAGTCCCCACACCGACCATCTGCTTCTGAAGTAAATATGAACTCCATCCCTGGCCAATAAGATGCCACCTCCCTTAGTCTGCTTGTCAGGGGCTGTGGACACCCCAACCCTTCCTTGTCTACTCAGCCTGGCTGGGGGCCCAGAGTTGGAGATGACCCAGAAACTTCCTGGAGGGCTGTGTCTCCAGAATGTTTACCCACCCCAAGCTCTCCCCTTGTATCCCAAAATACACTGAGTTGGGACCCTGGCCAAGGGGCTCAGAGTCTTGGGGAGGCTCTTTCTCCACATGTGGGGAGCTGACAGCCCTTTGGTTCTCAGCCACAGGCCCCACTAATCCCCAGGAATGAGCTCATGTGGGTGGAATGCCACTTGCTTACTGGAGAAAGGTCTGCACTGAGACAAAGGTGGTGGCCCAGATGGAAGGCTACACGTGAGGTCCCTGTCCTGCAGCCCCTGCTGTCTTCACTTCTTGCCCTTCCAGTGTCTTTGCCCTTCAATATATACCCCATCCCATCTTCAAGTGTGAGTGTTTCCTGCCCATTGGAGGGGACACTGCCTCTACTTTATGTCCTGTCCGTGTCTTCCTGGGTGAAGGGGCCCACAGTGGGGACGGAGGGACCCTTTGAGATGGCCTTTGTGGTCATGGCTCAGGGCAGATGAGGAGTGAGCCCATAGTCAGTGTAACCCCAGTGTGTGCCCAGCCTTCCCTCTGCTGGGGATGTGGAAGAAACAATCTCAAAGTTCACAGGCCAGTGCTGTGCTCTGCCAGTTGAATGGGGTCCTTGAGGGTCCAGGGGTCCCCAGTGAGGGCCCTAGGTTGGCAGCTACTGGGCCTCTGGGAGCTTCCCAGCCTCATGACTGCTCTCTTGCCTTTCCCCCTTACTGGTTTTAGACAGTGGGGCTGTCCTCTCTTGTCTGGAAATTCAGAACCGAGAGAGGGCTCTTTCCGACCTTAGCAGGTTTCAGGCTCCTGGCTGCAAAGCTATGTCCATGAGCAATTTCCCCAATCTCTCTGGATTTTAGTTTGCCTGTCGGAAATGGACATATTGAAGCCAATGGCTTCTTAGTTTGCAGCATGGTGTTGTAGCATGAACAGATGGGGTGCGGCTATTCTGGAAGTGTATGATGGCAGGAGTTAGGAAGAGACCAGGGCAGAATGTCCTGGAGAAGCAAAATAGGGTGGGCTTACATCTGGGGGGCACCTGGACAGTGACTACTGCCTCCATGGCTAGAAGTGGATTCTGCATGAACCTGTGAGGCTGAAGTTTCAGGCTTCTCAATGAGGGACAGCAATGTGTCCACAGGGTCACATGTTCTGGTAAACTTTGCAAAAGGAAGATATTTTGGTGCTTTCTTAGAGAGGGTCCTAAAAAGCTTCAGACCCCACGAACCGTGGACTCCTCTGTCTGGTGAGGGTAGGGGTAGCCCAGATAATCCAGAGAGGAAGGGAAAGGGGGGGAGGTGGGCTTAAAATGTGTGCAGACTCACATGACCTAGATGTCCAACCCCAATACCCCTTGGCTGGTGACCCCGAAGGGTCTAAAGGAGTTGTGACATGGTGATTCTGGAGACCTAGCAAAAACTACCACGCTATAATTTGGGGAAGGGCACCTGCAGAGGTCAGGGTGATATGGCACTTACCAGCTCCTCTATGGTGACTGTGCGCCTGGGTTGTCCATCCAGGACCCAATGAAGGGTAACTGACTTTCCAGAGCTGTTTCCTGGGATGAGGACAGAGCACAGGGTGAATGGGGTCTGAGAGACATGGGGAGTGGGGGACAGCAAAGAGGAACTGGAGAACTTGATGAACAGGTTTCATCTTAAGTGCTCGTGAGTTCAGCCTCGAGAAGGGTGGGCACCCATGAGCATCTTTAGAACTGAGGACCCACCTAGGAGGTGGCAGAAGACAGACAAGCTTGGGAAGGGACAGCTCAGCTAGGGACATAGGAGCTGCCTGACCTTTGGGAGGGGGGCATGCTTGGGGTCAGAGTTCACAAGGAAGAGGCCAAGGCCCCTAGTGCAAAGGGGAAGGGAAGAGGGAGGCAGCCTCTGGTATTTTTAGGCTGGGCAGCAAATGCCTTTAGGATGAGAGATCTGTGAAGAGATGACTGTGTCTCCCCCGCTGGCTGAGAAAAACAGCAGCCAGATGTTGCTTTGGGAAGTCTACTTCGCCCAGAGCTCCCCTGGGGACTTCTTCCTTATGGCAGTGTTTCCAGACCCTGGCCAAGAAGTCCCCTCATGTCTTCAAGGTGAGACTGGGGGACAGAACCTCAGTGTTCTAGGCTGGGTGTGCCTAAGGGGGCTCTAGGAGGAATCCCAGAGCCAAGTATTACTCAGAGGGTGCCTGGAATGCTCCCTGGGAATGCTCCAGCCTCCAGTGGCCCCAGCAACTCTGCAGCCCTGCCCAGCAAGGGTTCTTAGTCCCAGAGCAAGCATGGCTCTCAGAACAGATAGCCACCAACCCACCCACCCTGGCTCCAGCCCTGCGGGGCTGATCACCACCTATGCTTCTGGGCCACCCCAGTTCCTTTCTTCTCCTCTTCCAGACCCACACACCTGGTGTCAAAGGCCCGAGATGGTAGCAGCTCCAGGAGCCTCCTTTCTCCCAAAGCCCTTCTTCACTGGATGAGTGACTTGCCATCAGGTCACCCCTGGGAAAGGAGGCTGAAGGGGCCAGCGTGGGGAGGGGTCTGACTGGGTCTGTGGGGGAGGAGGGGTGTTCTTTCAGCCCAGAGAGGACTTACTGGGAATGAAGGGCCAGGCCTTGCAGGTTCCAGGCCTCTAAGGGTGGGGAGTAGGAAGGGTAGACCCCTGCTGGTGTGGGTGGGTGTTCTCCACTGGCCTCCTGATGAGGGAGAGGGAGGCAGAGCTGAGGCTCTGGTGACTGGGTGGGTGGGAGTGGAAACCGAGGCAGCACAGAAGACCCCTCTATCCCAGGAGGCCCATCACTCTCCATGACCCCAAGCTTGGGCTCTGAGGGGAATGAACTATGGAATGCTTAGGGATCTTCCCCAAGGCCTGAGGACTGTCATCCCTCCCCATTGGGCCAAACAGAGCAGGACCTAGTACCTATTGGGTTTGCAGCACAAGGCTGTGGACCCCCCAGACTCAGGCTGCCCCACCCAGGCCTTTGTGCCTCCTGCCTGGTTTCCTTCACTGTTCCCTGGCCAGGCACTTGATGTGCAGGACTCACTAATCCTCCCTCCTACTTGCAGAGGTCGGTGCTACCAGACCATCTGACTGGAGGGCTTGGAGAGCTTACAAGGAGAGACAGCTGCAGTCATCCCAGAGCACCACTAAACAGGCACCTTCTGTTTGGAGAAGTCCTTCTCTATCTAACCAAACAAGGCAACAATATAAACAGTATACACACTCCTCCCCAAGGCCCTGGGAGGAGGAGACCAAGATGAGCTGTGAGACCACAGCCAGTTTTGCTGAACTGAGGGCAGACCAGGGACCTGGGGAGGGGCGAGGCAGTGGGCATGGGGGCTTTCAGGAGAGTGCCCCAGCTGGACCCTAAGGGGTGGCAGTGCAGGAACCCTTCCTGCGGGCGGTTGGGCGTGAGGAGGCGGTGAGAGCGAGAATCCAGGCCCAGAGCCGGCTGGGTAGCTAAGAGGGGAAGAGGTCATGGCTGTGGCGCAGTGGCAGCCAGGCAGAGTGTGAGCAAGTCCAGCCCCAAAGCCATCCCAAGAACAGTTGAGAGTCCCTGGGTAAGTCCCACGGAGACCCACTCAAACCCCACGCCCTGACCTCCTGGCACTGCTATCAGACCCTACATGCTCTGCCCAGGCTCTGAGTGGAGCCGGAGCCGACCCTGCAGCCCCTGCTTACCCCACCTCGCCTGCACCCGCCGCGTCCTCACCTTGGAGTAACCCAACACCTAGCGCCGGCCACAGGAGCAGCAGCAACAGGAGCACTGGAGACCCCCGAGCTCTCCGGGACCCCCGGACCATAGCTATGAGCGCTTCGGCCTCTAAGCTGCCGCGCGGCTGCCGAATCGCCGGCTCCGCCCGGGCTGGATCTCCGCCGACCCACGCCCCGCGCAGCCGGGTCCGCGCCGCCCCGACCCTCCCGCGTCCCGCTCCAGGCCAGTCACCTAACTCGCACGGTTCTGGGAGGGACCCTGCCCCATGGGACCGGGCCTCCTGCGCCCTGGGGGAGCCAGGATGACACTCGCCGGCCACGGCCGCCGCGGTCGAGAGGGTAGAGCTGGGGGAGGAGGCTGGAGGCGGGAATCCACGAGGCCCCTTGAGGGACCTGTCCGCACTGTCCCGCCCCGTCAGTCTCAGAGCGACCCTACTCGTAGGGGTGGGGCGGGAATCTCAGGGAACGTTCTTTGAGGACCACAGTGAAGTGAAGCGGGTTAATGGACAAAGGCTGGGTTTGGGGGCAGTTGCTTAGGTCTATCCAGGGAGCGCCCCGCCTTGCCAGCGGTCCTGCCCCGAGGCTTCCCCAGGGAAAGCGGAGGAGGGTAGGGGGGAGTGTTACAGCCGGCTTACCCACCACGCTGGGTAACCCCGGGAAGGGAGGCCAAGGCGACGGTCCCAGCCCCCAAGCGCACATGGGTGGTGTGGGGCTGGGGAGCAAGTGAAGGCTGCGGGCTTGGAGGCTTCGATACTACTGGGGACAGGCGTAGGAAGAAGGGCAACCCTTTGTCCGTGGTGGTGGCTGGAAGGCAGAAGTGCAAAAAGCTGTAAATCTCAGACGTGGGGATTTCTTTTGCCTCGGGAACGTCTGCTTCTTATTTAAAAGATTTGTTTGTGTACAAAGTGTAAATTTGGATATCAAGGGATATTAACTGTTAAGCAAATCTGTTTCTGTAGTAATTTGGTTAATAAAGGCTCCAGCCGTTTGGAATGTAATCATTTGGTTAATAAAAGATCCAGCAGAAAGAGAAACCCACATTCATGTGATTCAAACATCAGAAAGAATGAAATGTGTAGGGTCAAGTCTTCCCACTTCATTTTTCATTTTTCTTTCTTTTTTTTCTTTTCTTTTCTTTCTTTCTTTCTTTTTTTTTTTTTTATTTGAGACAGAGTCTCATAATGTCACCCTTGGTAGAGTACTGTGGAGTCATAGCTCACAGCAACCTCAGACTCTTGGGCTCAATTGATTCTCTTGCCTCAGTCTTGTCTTGTCTCCCAACTAACTGGGACTACAGGCGCCCCCCCACAACGCCCGGCTGTTTTTAGAGGAGGGGGTGTCTCAGGCAATCGGCCGCTTCGGCCTCCCAGAGAGCTGCGATTACAGGCACAGAGTCACTTCTTGGATATCCATATTCTTGGCCCTCCTACCCCAACAGGAAACCATTATTATGCATTTCTTGAATAGGTTAAGTTATTTTTATGTATATCCAAGGCAATAGACATTTTTTTCTCTTGTTAATTTTTTTTGCACTTTGATATATAAATCTGTTTGTTTGGTTTGGTCATTTAATACACTTTGGATATCTGGGCATTTAGAGTGCCCTTGTTTTTTTTGTTTTTTATTTTTTAAGAGACAGAGTCTCATTTCATTTCCGTGGATAGAGTGCTGTGGCGTTACAGTTCGTGGTGTCACAGTTCACAGCAACCTCCAGGTCTTGGGTTTAGGCGATTCTCTTGCCTCAGCTTCACCAGCAGCTGGAACAACAGGCACCTGCAACAACACCTGGCTATTTTTTGGTTGCAGTTTGGCCAGGCCAAGTTCAAACTCTCCACCCTCAGTATATGGGGCCTGCACTCTACTCGATGAGCCACAGGCACTGCCCAGAGTGTCCTGGTTCTTATGTTTACTTCTACTATTCTGGGGTTTTGTTTGTTGGTCTTTTGGTTTTGGCAGGGTTGTTTTTTGTTTGTTTTTGAGACTGAATGAGAATGATCACAGCCCATTGCAACCTACAACTCCTGGGCTCAAGTGATCCTCCTGGCTCAGCCTCCTGAATAGCTAGGACTGTAGGCACAGGCTACTACACCCAGGTAATTTGTTTTATTTTTATTTTTTGCGAGTCTAGGTTTCACTATGTTGCCCAGACTGGTCTTGAACTCCTGACTTCATGTGATCCTCCTGTCTCAGCCTCCCAAAGTGTTGAGATTACAGGTGTGAGCCACCAAGCCTGACCTACTTTGGGTTTTTAAATCAACATTTTATGGTATAATTTTCATATAATAAAATGCACTTAAGTGTACAGTTAGATGACTTTTGACAAATGTGTATACCTGTGTAATCACTATGATTACAAAAGATATATTTTCATCAACATCCCAAAGTTCTCTTTTGCCCTTTCCCAATCTGTCTCTCCCACTCCCAACCTGAGACAACCACTGATCTGCTCTGTCTTATGGATACATTTTGCCTGTTCTAGAACTTCATATAAATGGACTCATACAACATGTACACTTTTGTGTCTGGCTTCCTTCCACTCTGTACAATATTTCTGAGATTTATTTACACTGTTTTGTATTGTTGCAGGAAGATGAGACCCAATGGAGAAAAAGAGCACCCAAACACAATATTTACGAGGAAAAAAGGCATTTATTCAGCCGGTGGAGCAAATGGCATAGAAGAATTCAAAATGGCTGTGCTCCCCAACTGGCTTGGTCTTTCCCTTTTTATCTCCAGTCGAAAAGTTAGAACCCACGGGTACCTTTCTCATTGGTTGGTTTGAATCAAACAGTAGAAGCAGGCTCCGGCTTTTCAGAATGTCAGCTTTCACTGAAGTGGAAGCAAGTGTCAGCCTCCAAGTCCTAGGAAGTTGAGTTTTTACAAATTTCTAAGAGCTGAGTCACCATGGGAAGGACCCAAAGGTGTATTCTTGGGGTCTCCTTGAGCAGACCTCTGTTCTCCTAGACCTCACCCTACCCAGCTATCCTCTCTCAGTATATCAAGTTTGTTCCTTCATATGAGTTAGTGTTTCATAGTATGAGTGAACCACTTTCTTTATTCAGATATTTGGGTTGTTTTCCAGTTTGGGAGTTTTATCAATACAACAACTCTGTTATGAAATTACTGTACAAATCTTTGCATGGGTATATGCTTTTATTTCTCAGCTGTAACTACCTAGAAGTAGAATTTCAGGGTTATAAAATAAGGGCATATTTAATTTTTTAAAAGCAACTCTCAAACTATTTTCCAAAGTGACTATACCAGTTCACACCCTCACCAGCAATGTATGAGAGTTCCAGTTCCTCCACACCTTTACCAACATTTACTGATGTCAATCTTTTTAATTTTAGCTTCCGAAGGGTATGCTTCATTCATTTTTATCATTTAGTCCCCTCTTGGACATATAAATGGCTTCCAATCCTGTTCTGTATCACTCAGCATTCTCTAGAGAAGCAGAATAAATGGGAAGGAGGGGGGAGAGGGAGGGAGGGGGGAGGAGGGGAGAGAGAGAGAGAGAGATTTGTATATCTCTCACATTGGCTCATGTGATTATGGAGGCCAAGAAGTCTTATGAGCTACCATCTATAAGGTGGAAAACCAGGAAAGCTGGTGCTGTAATTCAGTCTAAGTCCAAAGGCCTGAGAACCAGGAGCACTGATGTCCCAGGGCACGACAAGATGGACTGTCTCAGCTCAAACAGGAAAAGAATCCTCTTCCTTCACCTTTATGTTCTATTTCAGCCCTCAAGGGATTGGATGAGGCCAACCCACATTAGGGAGGGCAATCTTTTTTATTCAGTCCACCAATTCAAATGCTAATCTCTTCCAGAAACACCTTCTTAAATGTACCTAGAAATAGTGTTTTACCAGATATCTGGGCATTCCTTAGCCTAGTCAAGTTAACACACAAAATTAATCATCACACTTTTTTTTTTTGAAACACAGTATCACTTTGTCACCCTGGGTAGAGTGCTATGGTATCATAGCTCACAGCAACCTCATATTCTTAGGGCTTAAGCTTTCCTCTTGCCTCAGCCTCCCAAGTATCTGGGACTACAGGCACCTAGTATGATGTATGCCTATTTTTTTCTTTCTTTCTTTTTTTTTTTAGAAACAGGGTCTTGCTCAGGCTGGTCAGGAACTCCTGAGCAAACAATCCACTTGCTTTGTCCTCCCAGAGTGCTAGGATTACAAGTGGGATGAGCCCGGGCATTATCATACTTTCTGTTACAAACAGTGCTATAATGGATAAATCTTACATGCAAATGCAAGCAGGATTACTGGGTCAAAGGATATATGTGTTTGCACCTTGGGTAGATCCTTCAATTTGTACCAGTTTACAGTTGCACCAGCAATGTCTGAGAGTGTCTGTCTTCGCATAGCCTCACCAGGACAGTGTTATCAAAGTTTGTGATATTTACTAGTCTGAAAAGGGAGAATGTAGTTTTAATTTGCTCTTACAAGTGAGGTTGAGTATTTATCCAATTATTTAAGAGCCATTTGTATATCCTTTTCTCTAAATTGCCTGTTCATATCCATCTGTCGTGACCCATTGGGCCCCTATGGCCCTGGTCTCAGTTACCACAGGAAGGAACCAGGCAAGAGGCGGATTAGAAGTACAAGCTTGTGGGAAACAGGCTAGTCCTTACTTTCAGGGTAGCCTTGAGCAACCTCCGCACCACCTTTTTATTGAGATAGAATAATACAGGTGAGGGGAGTAATTAACAATGACTATGTGCTGAAGGCACGGGTCTCTTTCTCCATGAGGAGCTCCTGTGGACAAGTCACCCGAGAGTCCACCCCCTAGCTGTAAATCATCTTGCTCAGAGGTCGTCTGTCTCTTGGTGTCCTCTACATTTCCCCCCTCTAGTGTACTAAAGATGTCTCTGGATGGCAAGGGAGAAAGTCTGTAGTTGGTTATTGCTGTCATTCTCCTCACCGAGAAGCTTTCCTTCCTGCTAAGTAAAAGAAACAAAAGGGTATATAAGCATAACAAAAATACACTAACGGAGCTAATCCGATATAAAGGAAACTAATTTTAGCCAAACTAGGCATAGGGGAAATCTCGTCCCCTTTGTGTTAATCACCAT